TAACTCCCCGGTACTCCGATAAGTACCCGAACCGCTCAGAGCCTTTCCGATGTCCGAATATAGCCTTCCAATATATCGATCTTTACGTCTCAAACATTTTGAGACTCCTCGTCATGTCCCTGATCTCATCCGGGACTTCGAACAACCTTCGGTACATCAAAACACATAAACTCATAATACCGATCGTCACCGAACGTTAAGCGTGCGGACCCTACGGGTTCGAGAACTATGTAGACATGACCGGGACATGTCTCCGGTCAATAACCAATAGCGGAACCTGGATGCTCATATTGGCTCCTACATATTCTATGAAGATCTTTATCGGTCAAACCGCATAACACCATACGTTGTTCCCTTTGTCATCGGTATGTTACTTGCCCGAGATTCGATCGTTGGTATCTCAATACCTAGTGCAATCTCGTTACCGGCAAGTCTCTTTACTCGTTCTGTAATGCATCATCCCGCAACTAACTCATTAGTTACATTGCTTGCAAGGCTTATAGTGATGTGCATTACCGAGAGGGCCCAGAGATACCTCTCCGACAATCAGAGTGACAAATCCTAATCTTGATCTATGCCAACTCAACAAGTACCATCGAAGACACCTGTAGAGCACCTTTATAATCACCCAGTTATGTTGTGACGTTTGGTAGCACACAAAGTGTTCCTTCGGTATTCGGGAGTTGCATGATCTCATAGTCATAGGAACATGTATAGTTATGGAGAAAGCAATAGCAACAAACTAAACGATCATCGTGCTAAGCTAACGGATGGGTCAAGTCAATCACATCATGCTCTAATGATGTGATCCCGTTAATCAAATGACAACTCATGTCTATGGTTAGGGAACATAACCATCATTGATTCAACGAGCTAGTCAAGTAGAGGCAAACTAGTGACAATCTGTTTGTCTATGTATTCACACATGTATTAAGTTTTCGGTTAATACAATTCTAGCATGAATAATAAACATTTATCATGATATAAGGAAATATAAATAACAACTTTATTATTGCCTCTAGGGCATATTTCTTTCAAGAGCATCCTCCACCTCCACCGAGCGACTGTTGTCGATCTTGAACAGGGCCCTCATGACTGCAATAGCCTCTTCTGGCAGCTGTCCCTTGAACCTATTTGCGAACTGCTCCAGAGCGCGCTCCTTCATGTCCTTGCCATCCTGGACAATACCTATTCGCATCAAAGCATCGAGAACCGAGAAGTTCATACTCGGCTCCAAGATGATCGTATTGAGCATCAGTGGCTACTCCACAACACTTGATTGTTGTGCCTATGGCATGCTCTTTATTTTATTTGGACTATTTTGTGTTTTTGAATTTGAATAATTTGATTTGCAAACTTTAAATTTGTAATATCCATGAATTATGTGAACCTTGATTATTAAGTTGGAATTCAATATATGTGCAAATATGTAGTTGAAATGTTGCATGTAAACAAAAAACTTAGAACAATTGATGAATGAAATTTTTTAGGGAGTTAAATTTGAAGGATTCGGCTCAAATCATTTTTATTTAACTCGTCAAATATAAAATGTTAAGGTATACAGGTCGAGGAGCGAAATTATAAGTGACCTGCAAGGGATGTCCTTAGCATGGCTAGTCCTTAGACAATAAGACAATAGACACAGCATAATGATGTTCAAAGTATTCTCTTCGAGGATTCTCTGGTCTGGTTTCTCCAATCAGCACCTATCTAGGGAGCGTTCGGTTTCCCACTGCTCCTATAACTCCGCTCCCGGAGCGGACAAGATTTCAGCTTATTTTGGCGGAGCTGGTAAAACCGAGCTCCACAACTCCTTGGAGCGGATCGATTCCGAACAGGGCCCTAGTCGATCCACGTCTCCTGCACTTGGGTATTATAGATCCCTTGTGCCTTCGTCAAGATTTTTGAAATTTGACCAGGACTCGACGGACATCTCAGAAGATCACAGTTTTTCTCCTCACAGAAGCTCCAAGCTGTGGTGTTTTACTTTTATTACCAGGTGACCACTGAAGTATCTCCATCCAGGCGGCACCATGTCGGCAGTGGCAGACCGGTTCAGGGAGCTACCGGTTGGAAATCCACCATTCGTCAATGCTTTTAGATTCGTGCGGTTGGACCCCACAAAATTTCTTTTTCCCCACCGATTCCAGGATACGAGACCATGCAATACAAGATGGAGCCCACGTCTCGATCCCGCACATCCCACGAACCCACGCCCCCAGTCTGCCTCGCCTCCTCTCACCCATGGCCGGCGCCACCACGCTCGTCCTCTCCCTCATGGCCGCCGGCGCCGTTCCTCTTCGCGCCCAGCTTCTCACCTGGACGGCCCCCGACCCCGCGGCCGCCCCCGCCGTCCGGGCCGCCGTCTGGACGTCACTGTCGGACGCCGTCATGGGCGACGGCGCCGACCAGCCACCCCGCCGCTGGATCCTCCTTCCCCGGCCGGCCATGGCGACCACCACGCGTACAAGTAGAAAAGCCCTCATGGTCCAATGAGATCCAGCGAGACAGGTTCGTCCCCATCTAGCCCGGTCAGCTCTCGTACCCTGCATCAACCAGATCCCGTGGGCGTCGGGGTGACCTGCTCCGGCGAGGTTCCTCGATCCCGCCCGCCACAAGCCCGTCCACGGGCAGCCGTGCTCGCCGTTGGTGGCTACGTGCAGCACGGGCACCACGGCGGGGCACCGCGCACCGTTGTCGCCGGATCTGGCGACTCCAAGCCTGACCGCCATTGGATCTGGTTAGTCATGAATCATCTCTCCTAACCTCTCTCCATATCATGATTTCGGTTTTATTTTTCATGATTTCAAAATTCCTTGTTTCTCTACCAGATCATCGGCCTCCTGCATCTTCAGTTTCAGATATTTGATTGTTTGTGCAGAGGGCATGTGTTACACTTTTCTGAAAGAGAACCAAGAGTGAATCAATTTCAGAAATCAAGTTACATCTATGTACCTGTGTGTGTAGCTGAGTTGTGCAAGATATGTGAAATTTATATTTCAATCTGTAACTTGTTATTTGAGTGAAATATGTATTGAAATAGTTGTTTCAATATAAATTGAAATTCTTTGTGCCACTTTTGGAGTGTTGAATTTCAAGCTTTTTTGAAAAATATGAAATTTTAATAACTGAAATCATCTTTTAAAGAAATTGAAATTATATTATCTCACTCATTTATTTGAAATGAACGGATTTTACTCTTAATATCTGTAACTTGTTATTTCAGTGAGATATGTATTGAAATAGCTGTTTCAATATAAATTGAAACTGTTTGTGCCACTTTTAGAATGTTGAATTTCAATCTTCTTTGAAAAAAAATGAAATTTTAATAACTGAAATCATCTTTTAAAGAAATTGAAATTTTATTATCTCACTCTGTTATTTGAAATGAACGGATTTGACTCGGTTTATTGGTATCTGTAACTTGTTATTTCAGTGAGAAATGTATTGAAATAGCTGTTTCAATACAAATTGAAATTGTTTTTGCCACTTTTGGAATGTTGAATTTCAATCTTCTTTGAAAAAAAATGAAATTTTAATAACTGAAATCATCTTTTAAAGAAATTGAAATTTTATTATCTCACTCTGTTATTTGAAATGAACGGATTTCACTCGGTTTATTAGTATCTGTAACTTGTTATTTCAGTGAGAAATGTATTGAAATAGCTGTTTCAATATAAATTGGAATTGTTTGTGCCACTTTTAGAATGTTGAATTTCAATCTTCTTTGAAAAAATGAAATTTTAATAACTGAAATCATCTTTTAAAGAAATTGAAATTTTATTATCTCACTCTGTTATTTGAAATGAACGGATTTGACCCGGTTTATTGGTATCTGTAACTTGTTATTTCAGTGAGAAATGTATTGAAATAGCTGTTTCAATACAAATTGAAATTGTTTTTGCCACTTTTGGAATGTTGAATTTCAATCTTCTTTGAATTTTTTTTGAAATTTTAATAACTGAAATCATCTTTTAAAGAAATTGAAATTTTATTATCTCACTCTGTTATTTGAAATGAACGGATTTCACTCTGTTTATTAGTATCTGTAACTTGTTATTTCAGTGAGAAATGTATTGAAATAGCTGTTTCAATATAAATTAGAATTGTTTGTACCACTTTTAGAATGTTGAATTTCAATCTTCTTTGCAAAAAAAATGAAATTTTAATAACTGAAATCATCTTTTAAAGAAATTGAAATTTTATTATCTCACTCTGTTATTTGAAATGAACGGATTTCACTCTGTTTATTAGTATCTGTAACTTGTTATTTCAGTGAGAAATGTATTGAAATAGCTGTTTCAATACAAATTGAAATTGTTTTTGCCACTTTTGGAATGTTGAATTTCAATCTTCTTTGAAAAAAATGAAATTTTAATAATTGAAATCATCTTTTAAAGAAATTGAAATTATATTATCTCACTCTGTTTTTTGAAATGAACAAATTTGAAATTTATTAGAAGTAGTTTCTTGTAAGTGAGTGAAGTTTTATAAGTTTTAATTTTAAATATTAATTTAAAAGATTTCAAATCAATTTAGAGTGAGAGAGGTTGATCATTTGAAAAAAATGGAGTACGTACTTATGTATGTGTGTGAAGAGAGCTGTGTACAGCGAGGGGCGTGAATGATATCACGTGGGTGGGCTCGGCTGGTCAAATCACATGGGTGGGCCCAAACTGATGAAATACAGTGGCTGAAATGAAGAAAACAGTGGAATACAAAGATACAACTTAGTACAGCTTTTGAGGTGGCAGGACTCTATTGGCTGTGTAAAAAGAGGTTTGCGGGGCACATGCACATTAACCATTGGTGTGTCCGTCAGATGTTGGCACTGCTCATGCACAGGCACAGCATTCATCACGGGCATTTAGTTTGCTGCATAAATTCAGCCCACAATGGAATGGCACCTAAAGTCTGAGAGCATTTCCCTTCGCCAACAATGGCAAGATTCCTCTCCTGCTTTCTGGCTCAGGCTCTCCTAATCCTAGTAGCAACGTTGGTCACTTCGAAGGCCACAGAGGAAGGCCGAGCTCGCTCCTGCTACACGCCACCGGTGCCAACTCCGGCGTCTTCTGGCCAACGTGACCAGACCCCAGCAGCATCAGTGGGACTTCTTGGTTCGAGATCACCACTAGAAGCTCCGCCGCCGCCAGAACCACACCGTCTCCGCCACCGGTACCCGAGGGGGGCTCCACCCGAACAGCCGCCTCCGCCACCACCACTCTCGCCGCCACCGCCGCCACCACGATTCTCGCCTCCGCCTCCGCCATCGCCACTCTCGCCGCCACTTAATTAGCACTTTCACTTCCCCGCATTGCCATATTTCTCAGCATCACCACGTTGTATCTGCACTTTACATGTTTTAAGCTAGTTTTCGGAGCAATGTAACACTATGGATTTTTATCTTCCTTTGCCCAGTGAGAAATTTTTCGAGCCAGTGAGGATATCGAAGTATTCTCTCGATTTTTTTGTTTGCCTGCCCAAGTGCCCGAGTACTTCAGGGCAGAAAACCTTGACCTTGGGTTTCTACATGGCCAAACGCTGGATGCGTTGACGCGACAGCTCGATCATCTTTCACAGCTGTAAACTCAGGCCATGATTCCCGAACAAATGCAAGTCAAGTCAACTACTCCAAGTTTTCAGTATAAGTTCGGCTGATGCGACTGTTCTTCAAGCTCTTCGCCGTCTTGGCCATCATGGCTGCTCTGTCGGCCACAAATGTGCCGTCGCTAGTTGGTGTATGGGGGAGGACGCCGGGGAGAGCCCCACCTTCGCCGAGGTCGTCCCCGCGTAGGAGTTCCGCGAAACCGACTCGTCCCAGGCCACCGCCTCCGCCACCGGCGCAGAAGGGCAGAGTGAGGCCACTGCGTTCACCGCCCCCGCCTCCACCACCACCACCACCACCGCCATCACCATATCGCCAACGAGGCGTCCGCTCTCCTGCACTACCACTACCGTGCCACTAGATCTAGGTTTCGACTTAATCTTGTATCCATTTTGCTTATGATTTGCGAAGACCTTGATCTGGATATGTTAATCTTGGACGATGCTTCGGTGCCTATGACATGTGGATCCAACAGGTGACTGATCCACATGTCAGTGACCCAAAGGCAGGTGCCTTTAAGGCACCGAAGCTGCGTCCGTTAATCTTTGACGCATCTTTGAAAAAAAAGGTTGTTATCTGATTAAAGAAGGTTTGTCATGTATTTAAAAACGTGTTTACATGTTTACAATAAAAGTATTCGTCCCAATTTTGGACTAGCGTTCTTTAAGTTTAAGATATTTCTAAAAAAGTGTTTACATGTTTACAATAAAAGTATTCGTCCCAATTTTGGACTAGCGTTCTTTAAGTTTAAGATATTTCCTTATCAGTTCTGTAAAAAGAGTATAGGGTGGTCATAATACAAGGTTTTTGGAAGATTGGTGTGTTGATGACAAGGCACCTAAATTGCTTACCCTATATCACATTAACTGAAGCTATTGATAAAGGTGGAGTGGGTTCAGATTCAGAAGAATTCTATATGGGAAGTTTTCGGATCTGTGGAATAGTTTAAAACATAACCTAAAGAGGTTGAAATGGGATCTAGTAAAGATAAAATCAGATGGATGTTGACAACTCACAATTTTTTGTCAAGTCTCTTTACAGGAAATTAATTGAATATCTATGTAACTTTCCTAAAAAAACTCTTTGCAAGGTCGGAGTACCTACTAAGATCAAAGATTTTCTTTGGCTTATGGTTAGAAAAAACTATCTCACTAACGATAACCTACTTAGGAGTGGGTGAGCTGGAAACAAAATGGGCATTTTCTATGGCATGGATGAAACAATAAACCATCTGTTTTTTTAATCCTCTATTGCTAATTTTGTCTGAGAGTTTGCTGAAATGTACTTTTAGTTTAAATTCTACTCTAACTGCACTGAATGATTGTTTTGGAATCTGGATTGGAAGTTTTCTAAAGAATGAGAAAAAGTTAGTGTGCTGTCTTTTGGTCTATTTGGAGATGCAACAATGATGTGATATTTGAGGAAAAGAAACTTATCAATGATCCTATTATCCTCATCAAACTGATTTGTTACTAGATTAATGTTGGTCCATTTTATAGTTAAAGGAGAGAAATAGAAGGGTATTGATGCTGGGAGCAGGACATCTCGAGCGGGTGCAAATGAAGTATATCGTTCGTCCCAAGGCTGGAGACATGGTGTTCTAAGGATAGTGGCTAAAAAACGAAAGTTTCTAGGCCACGTGTTTTTATGTTGTCCTTAACCTCGTGCAAGAAGTTCCTGCACTAGTTGTCCTCATGGAGTAGCTCTTTATTCTTTATCCTACATCACTTATTTTACCCTTGGACTTATTGTTCTTTAACCCTTGTTATCATGTAGCTTTTTTTACTGACATGTGGAGTCTGGCTTGAATGATGTGGTATGATGGTATTTGAATCGGAGTCTGCCTCTCTTTAGGTGGTTATGTTGGTAGTTTGATCCCTAAGCTTTGTTTTTTAAGATGCTAGTAGTTTGTATTAGGGCCCTGAATTGTTTGGTTTGTTT